GTAGTGGGTGGCAATGATCGTGGTAGCAGCAACGGTGGTGGTGCAGCGGTGGCGACGACGGCTACGACAATGGTGGTGGCGGTGGCAGTGGGATAGGATAGTTTCAAATACTATTTGTTTTTTAAAATATTTATGAAAAATAATTCCTAAAAGTCACTTTAAACACAGTTTTAGGAACTTATTTTTCTTATTAAATTTAGAGTGTTAATATTAACTGTTAGATTTATTTTAAAATAAAATTTAAAATAATTTCAACTGCAAATAGTAAAAATTATTTTATTTATCTTTTGAGATTTGAATTGTAAATTACTTTATTATATAGATAAGAATTACTTTAAGATTAAAAGTAACGTGTCCTAATCTTTATGAATGTTTTCCACCTCTCATTGTGACTTAAACTGTGGCAAACATCAGCGATCGATACAGACTAAGATGAGTTGGGATTTCATTTCTATTTTGGGATTTTTCCCCTTGTCCAAATCGTAAACTAGATCGCGTAACTCTCTTGTAGCCGTGAATAACTTATGTTAAGCGCCAGAATTTTTCTTTCAAATTCAGAAATTTATTTTTTTTTTGAAAAATAAATTCAGAAAATTGAAAAAATATACTATGGCTGACATTTGTGTACAAAATCTATGCAGGTTTAGATCATTGGGTTCAAGTTAAAGGAAGATCATTACCCACCCAAAAAAGGGGGAGATCATTGTATAAAGTTTGGCCAAAGTTGAGATATTCTTTGGTACTCTTTTTAGGATCCAAGTACCGTATTAAAAAATTATTTTTCAATACCATACCCCTTGTTTGAACCAATTGAACAATGACATGTGTAAAAAAATTTGTACCGACCCTTGAATTTTTGGGTCGAATCAATCAGCTCGGGCGGGTAGTCTTGACCATGGCCAATCTTGTTTATTTATACTTTGTATTATTAGATGTAGACTTTTGATGTAATAATAAAGTTGTTTCATTTTAATTTGATCGCCACGAATTCGATTGACAGAAACAGACTTTGAGCATATAAAAGCAAAGGCTTGTGTATATTGGATCGTCACTAAAACACTACAGGGACAAGAAGTTAGTATACTGGTTACAAAAATAAATGAACTCCCAATTCCTAATAACCCAGTTCATTGTCTTTTCAGTTACATTCAAAATTAGAGCTAATTATCGAGCCGAGTTATTCGGACTCAATTTGATTTTGGCTCATATAAGGCTCATTCGGGCTCGACTTCCCTATTTTTTAAATAAGTTGAGCTTGAACAAAAAAACTCAGTTAGAACTCATAAAATTTGATTTATTTAAAAAATAAACTCGATAAACTCAAATCAGACTCATTCAAAATACCGTAGAGTCACCAAGACATCTTGGTAGGTGGGTTCTTAACAGGGATGCGGTCCTCATCAATGAGTCCCAGTTCCTGTTTTGCTTTCATATTTCCCCACGTTGTTAATACACTTTTATATTTTAATTAATGTTTCTTTGTCCTATAATTCTTCGTATGCTAAAGTTGGTCTTCCTTAAATCACGAGAAATTTTTGTGTGGATTTAATATAACACCTGTTCAGTGGTGTATACAGTCAATTAGAAGACGTACATTTCCAAAAAACTAGCATATGTATCTGACATGACGATTTTTCATTAGTTGTGAATCCTCAATGTGTTAAACTTATACAAAATCTTCTCTTAAATCACTAACAGTGTCAATTTAACACTTGACTAAGTTTTGTAATCTATAGATATTTTGGTTGGCTTGGAAATTCTATATTGGCGGTTCATTTTGATTAAGCCTATTCTTAATATGGTTTGCCATTGATTTTTTTTCTCCCCTAACCAAATTGTCTAATCGTCGATCACATGAAAATAGGACATATTCAAGGAATGCATTTTCTCCCTTACACACTTTCGGTCAAAAATTTGCCGACAATAGATTACTTATTCCTGTCAAGGACACTTTAAGCACAACTTAATCTCCCACTCCCACCAATAGTGAAAAATATAAAAAATAATGTGCAAGATGAATGGTGTAGTGGTTCTTTCAGGTATTCAGCTACTGTTGTTAATCAGAATTTGAAATTACAAGAAGTTGATTACAACAAGAGACATAGTTGAAAGGTATATATTGTAATTAATCCTTTTTATTTTGTACAACTTACAAGACATCTCTTTTTTAAGTCTCGATTTCCTTTTAAATGTTTTCCAATATTAAGGCTTACTCCAGCTAACCTCGAATTTCTAGAACATTGTCCTACAATTATATATAGTCATATAAAAATCATATCCTATTTTATTAATTTTTTAGAATAATACATAGTTCGATGAAGATTCTTTGGACATAAAACTATTTACAGGCTTCTTATAACTTAGTGGTAGAGCAATAGACTTGGCTTATATGTATTTTTTTTCCTCAGCTACTATATATTGATTATTCAAGCATGCCCATTGATGAGTAGGGAGCAGGGAGCAGGGAGCAGGGAGCAGGGAGCAGTGAGCAGTGAGCTAAATTAATAATATTCGGCATGCATAAGTTCTTTGGCCGAGAATAAGGAACACCGGCCAAGTTGACCATGTTCTTACCACCTTCGCTGGCATGGCACCCCTCCTCACCAACCCCATCTCTGGACCAAACCAAACATTAATAAGAAGTGGGTTTGGCCTATCATCTTTGAATACCCCCTAACCCAAACCCAAACCCAAACACAAACACAAACACAAAACCAATTTATTTTTCATTTTTTAATTAAAATTAAAAAAAAGAACTAAAACTCGTCAAAATATAAACAACAAAAATAATAAAATTTAGAGACTTAATTAAGTTTGATTCTTGTTGGTGTCTCTCGAGTTTCAATGGTATTTATCCGTTATGAAAAAATTAAGGCAAATGGTAGTTTGCACCTTAAAAGGTTAAAATTTTATCAATTTATACCTTCAAAGATTAATTATTTTAAATTACACCTTCAATTAAATTAATTGGTAGCAATGTGACCTCAATTATAACGTCTGTTGTTATTTTCATCAAATTGACAGCCATGTGAGACGTACGTGAATAAGGAAAGGGTCATAATCTAATAAAAGTTGTCACGTGCATTTAATGTGGCTGTCAATTAGACGAAAATTGCAATCTCAGACAATATGTCTATGTTGATTTTTATTGGATTGATAGGCACATAAGACGCACATGAAAAGGGAAAACGCCATAATTCGACAAAAGTCATCACATACATTTAACGTGGTTGACAATTTGATGAAAATTGCAATGAATGTTATGGTTGAGGTCATACTGCTATTATCTAATTTAATTGAGGGTAAAATTTAAAATAATTGATCTTTGAGGGTGTAAATTGAATTTTTTTTAATCTTTTGGGGGTGCAAACTGCTATTTTCCCAAAAAATTATATTAAATTAAATTCTACCAACAAATCTCAGCCTTCCACGCTCACACAACCCCAAAAAATAGAAAAGAAAAGAAGACAAAACACCCATCCTACCCTCACCCACCCCGCGGAATGATATCACAATTCATACATAAATACCCACAAACTTGTGTTGGAATCGATAGACCATTCATCATATGCCAAACACTCTCTCTCTCTCTCTCTCGACAAAAAAGAGAGACCATTTCAAGAATTGGTGGGGAAAGAATCAACCAGAGTGGAGGGGAGAGAGAAATTTCAACACTTCACCAACCCATCTTCCCCAACCACCATGCTACCTTCTAAAAACCAACTCACTTTCATGAACTCCTGGCCTGTTATCCTCTCCCTCTCTCTCTAGCACAAAGAAGAGAGAAGTCAGCCTATTTTTGAACTGATACAGGAAAACAAAGTAAGTTTCTTGCAGTTGTAAACTGTTTTTTTTCATTCTCTTTTGATCATTTTCTTNGGAGCAGGGAGCAGGGAGCAGTGAGCAGTGAGCTAAATTAATAATATTCGGCATGCATAAGTTCTTTGGCCGAGAATAAGGAACACCGGCCAAGTTGACCATGTTCTTACCACCTTCGCTGGCATGGCACCCCTCCTCACCAACCCCATCTCTGGACCAAACCAAACATTAATAAGAAGTGGGTTTGGCCTATCATCTTTGAATACCCCCTAACCCAAACCCAAACCCAAACACAAACACAAACACAAAACCAATTTATTTTTCATTTTTTAATTAAAATTAAAAAAAAGAACTAAAACTCGTCAAAATATAAACAACAAAAATAATAAAATTTAGAGACTTAATTAAGTTTGATTCTTGTTGGTGTCTCTCGAGTTTCAATGGTATTTATCCGTTATGAAAAAATTAAGGCAAATGGTAGTTTGCACCTTAAAAGGTTAAAATTTTATCAATTTATACCTTCAAAGATTAATTATTTTAAATTACACCTTCAATTAAATTAATTGGTAGCAATGTGACCTCAATTATAACGTCTGTTGTTATTTTCATCAAATTGACAGCCATGTGAGACGTACGTGAATAAGGAAAGGGTCATAATCTAATAAAAGTTGTCACGTGCATTTAATGTGGCTGTCAATTAGACGAAAATTGCAATCTCAGACAATATGTCTATGTTGATTTTTATTGGATTGATAGGCACATAAGACGCACATGAAAAGGGAAAACGCCATAATTCGACAAAAGTCATCACATACATTTAACGTGGTTGACAATTTGATGAAAATTGCAATGAATGTTATGGTTGAGGTCATACTGCTATTATCTAATTTAATTGAGGGTAAAATTTAAAATAATTGATCTTTGAGGGTGTAAATTGAATTTTTTTTAATCTTTTGGGGGTGCAAACTGCTATTTTCCCAAAAAATTATATTAAATTAAATTCTACCAACAAATCTCAGCCTTCCACGCTCACACAACCCCAAAAAATAGAAAAGAAAAGAAGACAAAACACCCATCCTACCCTCACCCACCCCGCGGAATGATATCACAATTCATACATAAATACCCACAAACTTGTGTTGGAATCGATAGACCATTCATCATATGCCAAACACTCTCTCTCTCTCTCTCTCGACAAAAAAGAGAGACCATTTCAAGAATTGGTGGGGAAAGAATCAACCAGAGTGGAGGGGAGAGAGAAATTTCAACACTTCACCAACCCATCTTCCCCAACCACCATGCTACCTTCTAAAAACCAACTCACTTTCATGAACTCCTGGCCTGTTATCCTCTCCCTCTCTCTCTAGCACAAAGAAGAGAGAAGTCAGCCTATTTTTGAACTGATACAGGAAAACAAAGTAAGTTTCTTGCAGTTGTAAACTGTTTTTTTTCATTCTCTTTTGATCATTTTCTTTTGACACTTTCCATTTCATAATTAATTTCAGAGGAAGATCAAGATGGAGGGAGAGAAAGGATGGGGTTCAAGACGGCAAGAGAGTCGCAATGCGAGTAGGAGCATGAGCAGAAGCCGTAGTAGGGCCAATTGGATCATGGAAGATGTGTTTGGTGGCGCAACAAGTTCCAGAAGGAGTAGTACTGCTACTGAAGACGAAGAAGCTTTAAGATGGGCTGCTTTAGAGAAGTTACCAACGTACGATCGGTTGCGAAAAACAGTCATCAAAGACTTCATAGAGAACGGTAACCATGTGAATAATAAGGTTGTGCACAAGGAGGTTGATGTGCGAAAGCTCGACATGAATGATCGACAACAGTTCATCGACAGGTTTTTCAAGGTTGCTGAGGAAGATAATGAGAAGTTCTTGACAAAGTTCAGAAGTCGAATTGATAAGTATGTTCTTTAATCTCCCACAATTTCATTATATTCCCATTCTTTTCCTTTCTCTGCTCTCTAAAGTTGTTAGATTTTTTGAACTCATGATTTAACATAATTGTAATTATTCGTTAGTCATCTACATCATGTTAATACAACCCACATCTCTTGAAATATTTGAACATGAGACAATCGTGAAAATGTTAACATCCAAATTATTAGTCATCGTCTATGCTGTTAGATCTTAAGATCGTATATTCGAATCTCATCCTTCTCTTCTTCTAAATACATGGACAAGGAGGTATTTTAATTTCCTAGTCGGTGTTACCAAGTTATAATTTATAACATGCAAACAGGGCATGAGTGAACTGTCGAATTGCGAAAAATCATTGAGTATCATTGACTCAATTTTTTTTTCATTTGTCTAATCAATAGATTTGTTGTCTTTTTCCATCGGCCAGTTTGAATTGTTTTGCTTGTTGAACAACATCTATCCATAATGTTATTATCTTACTCCTCGCTTTCTTTTTGAGCTTCTTGTTTTTTATATGACCAATTGGTCTTCTATCTTTTTAACCTTTTCCAACCACCAACAAAAGAAAAACCCAACGTGAGTTTTTTCCACTCAATTGTTTTACTCTCTACAAAACTATTATCTTCTTTCTTCTCTCCCTTTTGGAATGGAGTTTATCTAAAATATATTAAATCACCATTAATCATTACGGACAGTACTCTTCATTTGACCTCAATAATAAATTACTCTTCGCGTATTGTTGTTGGACGGTTAAATTATATAAAGTAGGTTATACTTAAATTTGTAGCAAATGATTTACTGTTAAAAAAATATATTCGGTCAGATTTGAATCTATTTCCTTTGTCTTTTTCATTGACCCGAGAGGAATATAAGTATGAACACATTAACCTGAGAGGAATATAAGCTTATATGACTCAACTTAACGGGTGTAGATTCTCTTTATTACACATTTTATTCAATTTTATTTAATAGTAGATTGTCTATCATTAATAAACATGGATGATCTATCATCGACTGAAATTGAGCAAAAATGTAATGAAAATGATTTTTGCTTAATTACTATCTTGTGGTTGCAGGGTTGGGATCAGCCTTCCAACGGTGGAGGTTAGGTTTGAGCACTTATCAGTGGAAGCTGATTGCTACGTCGGTGACAGAGCTCTACCCACTCTACCAAATGCTGCCAGAAATATGGTGGAGTCGGGTTTGGGTTGTGTTGGGATCAAATTGGCTCAAAGCACAAAACTCACAATTCTTAAAGATGCGTCTGGAATTATAAAACCATCAAGGTTTGTACTTTTTTTGAAGTTTTGTGGCCTAAATGTCAATAAAGCATGACTTTTCAAATACATTGCATTGTTGTGTTTGTTTACTTATTTAAACACATTGACTTCAATTATTTTGTAATTATTGCAATTGGTCACTATATTATTTGGGGTTAATTATACTTTCATGCTTAAAGTTACACACTATTCCTATTTTGGCCTTTAAGTATTTCTTTTTGTTAGATTCAACCTTCAACTTTCAACTTAGAGTCCACTTAGTCAAATCTATAACAGTGGTTAAATTTTTAAGGCGGCCTTGACTATGAAATCGATAAAAAAAAATAAACATAAAATTGGTTGTGGGATATTTTATAATCAAAAAATTTATCACTTTTGTGAATGATTTATCATTTTTTAAAGATATTTTTACCACTATTGTAGTAACTTTTTACCACTTTTTGGATATAAAAAAATTATCATATTTATGAATATTTTTATCATTGTTGTCAGTTTTTTTACCATTATTGTGGTAATTAGTTGTGTTTTTATCATTATTGTGATAATTAATTTAATCACTTTTCTTTAATACCACAAGAATGATAAAAATATCTACAAATATAATAAATATCGGTACGAAACCCACTAAAGTAATAAATATCGATACGATATGGACAAATATAATAAATATCGGTACGGTACTATAGACAATTCCTGTTGTGATATGCACATATTATTTTTTCTAATAAACACTTCACACTTTATAATGAAATTTTAACGAAAATCGTTGATTGGACTGAATTAAAACTTGTTTGAAAGTTAGAAAATGGAATTGATTAAAAAAAAATATTTTTTGAGTTTATAAAGGAAAATCATAGTAATTTTTTGGGTAAAAATTGTAAATTTAAATGTCATTGAGAAAAATAAACTCTAATTTTTTTTGTGTCTAAACATTAATAAATGGTGTTTTTACAGGATGACCCTTGTTTTGGGCCCACCGTCCTCTGGGAAAACAACTCTTCTGTTAGCTCTGGCGGGAAAGTTGGACCGTCGCTTGAAGGTGTGTAATAAGCACTTATATTCATACTTCCATGAGATCAAGAAAGAAAGATAGAGTATACAATTAATAAGTTATTAAACTCACCACTGATATAAGTGCTTAACTTCGATGAACAGACAAGAGGAGAAATCACTTATAATGGTCATCGTCTCGACGAATTCGTGCCGCAGAAAACGTCGGCGTACATTAGTCAGAATGATGTTCATACCGGAGAAATGACTGTAAAAGAAACCCTAGATTTCTCGGCCAGGTGCCAAGGGGTTGGATCTCGATACGGTACTTGAAATTACTCAAACCTAGCCATGGTCATTATTGATTTTCAATTTTTTTAACCGTTTTGTATTTTCGTTTATCTCTGTTTTGATTTTAATGAATGAATTACAGAACTCCTAACTGAGCTCGCGAGTAGGGAGAGAAGTGCCGGAATTTTCCCTGAGTCCGAGGTCGATCTTTTCATGAAGGTAGAAATTGAAGCATTACCTATAGTGGCGGACTTGGATTCTCCCCCAATATGTTCTTCCTAATGGCTTTGTGTTTTTGTTCTGTGCTTCTTAATTTAGGCAACGGCGGTGGAGGGAGCAGAGAGCAGTCTCATTACGGACTACACTCTCAGGGTAAAATCTCAACCACTTAGAACTGTTCAATCAATTTTATTAAGGCGTTAGAGAAGCTTAGATTGATACTCAAGTATGTCATTTTTCTCCCTCTTTTCTTTCCGGAGACTTTATGAAAATTAGGTGTTGACAGGTCACCACCAACCTTACTATATTCTTGTTCAGAATTTTCTATTTCCACTTTGGGTCAAAGATCTCGCCTTACCTACTCTACTCTACTGTCCTACCATGTTGTTGGTGGATGATGAGGCCCCTAACAACCTTGTTTTTTACTTATTTATTTTTTGCTGTATTGGTTAACATCCTTTCCCATAGATCAAATTACCCATTCATCCTTAAATCATTATAATTTTCTTGATGGAATTTATGTTGCTAACAAGGATTATTGTCTAAACAGCTAAAATGGTTCTAATTTGTATTCTTTGTTCATTCAATCCATACAGATTTTAGGACTCGATGTATGCCGGGACACTATTGTAGGGGATGAAATGCAACGAGGAATATCCGGAGGGCAAAAAAAGCGAGTAACAACAGGTGATTATTATAATTTTTATTTCAAATGTAGTCCTCAACAACCATCAATACTTATTAATCTTCTTATGCCTGTTCCAACAATATGAAGTTCCCAGCTCTAATAAACATGATGATTGTGGCAATGAGAAACCACCAAATGAAAATTCTTCAACACAGCCCCAACCAAGAAGTTTTTAAAAAATATCCACGAATGTAGTCCAGGGTCTCCAATCCCTCAGACAAATACCTACTCAGAGCCATTTTACTTAATTGACAGCTAACTGGGTCCTAGTAGTGATAAGTTAAGCCAATGAAAGCCCCTAAAACTTAATAAATTCAAAACCAAATTCTAATAACTTCAAATTCAGAGGTCAAAGACAGGCATAAAAGATTTACTGACCAAATCCAAAACTTGCAGTGGAATTTTATAGACTCTTGTCTCTTGCTTAACATGGTGGCAGACCACCCCGTCACCATGTCATGGGGTGGTTCCAGTCCACAAACATGCCAACTCGTTAAGCAAACACTCATATTCATTGTGCTGTTGGAACAGTGTGACACTCTATGGCCCAAGCAGTACCCAAAAATCCAATCTGCTTCATCTACAATCCAAACATCCACAGTACATTACATGTGCGCAGAGTTGGAAATGGCAAGAGGTAGCCAAGATTTACTCATGTACCCACACCCTAGTTGAATGGTCCATAAATTCTTCATTGACAATGTTGTAACTCCCAAAGGGCTCTGTATTCTGCATGCTCAACTCCAACCACATTCCCACCCTTAAATAGCTCAGTTGAATATTACTAACATTGGAAATGATCTGCTCAATAGTTGAATATTGCTAATTTCCTTAGCTGCTCTAGCAATAAAACAATTCAAGACAGTAAACCAATATCTTGATCTGGTGATAACTCGGGACTCTTTAGGACATGTTGCTAGTTTTCAAGTCTTGTCCTTGATCGAAAATAAGAAAAAAGTAGAAAGATTGCTAGCTAATTTGGATGATTTGTCCTAAAAAAGGTGTTGAGTAGACGAGTTTCCCACTTTGCTAGTGTAACAGTAATGGGCTTCTTATTCTGTGCTCTGATACTCGCATCACTTGATGCAGGGGAGATGATTGTTGGGCCAACAAAAACGCTTTTTATGGATGAGATATCAACGGGCCTAGACAGCTCCACAACATTTCAGATCGTGAAGTGCTTGCAACAAATCGTCCATCTCACTGAGGCCACCATTTTAATGTCCCTACTCCAGCCTGCACCGGAGACATTTGATCTCTTCGACGATATTATTCTGCTGTCAGAAGGCCAGATTGTCTACCAAGGTCCACGTGAGCACGTCCTTGAGTTTTTTGAGACCTGTGGATTTAAGTGTCCAGAGAGAAAGGGAACCGCCGATTTCTTGCAAGAGGTAAATATGTAATGATTATGTTTTATTACCTGATACAGTGGCAAATGCGTCGGACTCGCAAATGTAAAGCTATAAGCTTGAATATGAGACAAAATATGAAATATGACATCCGTGTCCAGTCCACTCATCCTAGAATCCCCCACACTGGATAATGACCATTTTTTAAGCAAGGAAAGGATCAACAGATCTAAGGCATTTGAACAGCCAAGCACAAGTAGAAGTTTCAGCAATTTATGGTTTTGGCACCTTGGGAGACCAATCAGCTTCACAATTAAACTAGTTTAGTTTCATAGCTAACATTTGTAATATTTGTAGGTTACTTCAAGGAAGGACCAAGAGCAATACTGGGCAGACAGAAGCAGACCATACAGATACATATCAGTCAATGAATTTGCCAAGCTCTTCAAACGATTTCATGTAGGCTTGCGGCTGGAAAATGAGCTCTCAGTCCCTTATGACAAGGCCCGGAGCCATAAAGCTGCTCTGGTCTTCAAAAAATACTCAGTCTCAAAGAGAGAGCTTCTCAAAGCCAACTTTGACAAGGAATGGATGTTGATTAAGAGAAATTCTTTCGTCTATGTTTTCAAGACCATCCAAATCATCATTGTGGCAATAATTGGTTCGACTGTGTTTATAAGGAGTAGAATGCATACTAGGAATGAAGAAGACGGAGCTCTCTATATTGGCGCACTTTTGTTCACCATAGTCATAAATATGTTCAATGGGTTTGCTGAACTCTCACTTATGATACAGAGGCTTCCTGTATTCTACAAGCATAGAGACCTTCTCCTCCATCCACCGTGGGCTTTCACCCTCCCTACTTTCCTTCTTCGAATACCAATATCAGTGCTAGAGTCTATTGTTTGGATGGTCACGACATATTACACCGTGGGATTTGCCCCTGAAGCTAGCAGGTACTTTCAGCATTTTTTATTTTTTTAGTTGCTTAGTATGTAAACTTATCAATAGATTTGTTGGTTTTGCAGCTGGAAAAATTGTTGCCTAAATATGATGATTTCAATCCCATTTTCAGGTTCTTCAAGCAACTATTGCTCATATTTCTGATACAACAAATGGCTGCCGGGATATTTAGGCTCATAGCTGGAGTCTGCAGGAACCAGATTGTCTCAAACACTGGTGGAGCTCTCACTCTCCTCCTCGTGTTCCTTTTGGGTGGTTTCATCCTTCCAAAAGGTTGGTTCAACTACAAAGTCCCTTAACAATTTTCAAAATCTGTGTCCATAGGCCTATACATACAGTTTAAATGATAATTTTAATGCTTGATAATTGAAAAGTTTTACATATACCACACACTGGCAATTACTTGGTCTTGTAGGAATGGATTAGAAACAAGCACAATTGAATCGTGTACACAGTTAGACTACTACAGCACATCTACACTAACTGTCTGTATTACCTTTGCTCTGTTTGTTGAGATTATGCATTACAGTATATTAACTTGTGAAAAATCGCTTCTTTTGTGACAGGTTATTTTCCAAAGTGGTGGGCGTGGGGTTACTGGGTTTCACCTTTGACCTATGGATACAATGCGATCACTGTAAATGAGATGTTTGCTCCAAGGTGGATGAACAAATTGGTATGTGGCAAATACAGAGAAAAATGGATTTAAGGTCTCACAATAATTGAAGGTCCTAACATATCTGATTGAAATGTAGGCTTCAGACAATGTAACACCATTAGGTGTAGCAGTGTTAAAGAACTTTGATGTCTTCCCTGAAAAACGCTGGTTTTGGATTGGTGCAGCGGCTCTTCTTGGGTTTGCAGTTCTCTTTAACATTCTCTTCACACTCGCTCTAATGTACTTAAACCGTAAGTTTCCTCTCTCTCTCTCTCTTTCTCTGTGTGTGTGTGTGGGGGGGGGGGGGGGGGGGGGAAACTA